GTTTTGGCTCCTTCGGCAGGATCCGACCTGAGTTGGTCACCGGGACTAAAGATTTATTCCTCCAGGGGGCCTGGTTGTGTGTGGCTTTTCTGAGTTCCCTGAGGATGGTTCCAGCACGAGCCCAAAACCTTTGTTCCCAGTCACTGGCTCGGATTGGATCCTGCAACATTATCCTGGGACTGCTACATTTGCCTTCATTCAGAAGCCTCTTCCCTGGCGCGTGCCTCCCACTCCTCCTAAGGGTGGATAAGCTACCTAGACCACGCTGGAGGTCTCGGCCCCACCTCCCGACCCCTGGGGTTGCTCAGCAGGGCCTCTGTGCTTAGAAAAGGCATTTATTCTTTGGGACCTGACAGGTGATTTGCAGCCCTGTTGTTGAGGTGAATTGTCAATTTTCTTAGCAGGCCAGGAAGCAAATAGATGCTTTCTACCTGCCTATTCTAGAGGACAGATGAAGAAGAAGGAACATGTAAAACAGCTGAGGAGAGATTTCTTAATGATTAAGAACTCTGGTATGCCAAGGGGAACCCGTCTGATGCTTCATTTATGAGGCTGAAGGCGTAACGCTGGATGTGGGGTTCTAGACTGATCCTAATGGGTCAGTGCATCGCTGGAAAGAAGGGGCCATTTAGGGCAACCTGCAGCTTCTGTGAGGTTCTGGAGTCTGCTTGGGATTACCAGACCTCCTGGCTGCACTCAGGTTTTGGCCCAAGGGGTCACCTGAGCAGCACAACGATGGTGCAGCACTGACGGTTCTGCACCTGCTCCAACATCCTTCTGGGCAGGGGGGCAAGGTCCGCAGCAGGGACGGGGGGGGGGGGTGAGGCAGAGACCCCTCCTCCTTCCAGGCTTCCTTCTGCCTGGTTCTTCATTCAGGATGTGCTGGGCTTCTGGGCTTGCAACTCCCCATCCAGGAGTGGTGCTAAAAACGGATAAATAAATAACTCCCCTCATGCACCTGTGGCTCTGATGAAGTGAGGGGCAGCTGATAAAAACTTCTGCCTTTTAATTAAATTGGAGACCACAGCTTCCTCCCTGGCCTCCTCCTGGGCACGTGACTCTCCTTTCCTGGATGGTGAACTCCTGGCCAGGGTTAGTGGAGAAGGCCATCCTGGCCTGCAAATGCTGTGCTGTTGCCGTTGGATTCTTTGCAGCCTCTGGGTTACTGTATGCTTTGCTCTCAAGTGATTTTATTTCTTACTATTCCTGGCATTGCATTTTCTTAATCTGAGCTCTGTTTCCCTGACCATGAATTGATAAAAGGCCAAAGTCTTTAGGATTTACCCCGTTGCCCTTTCTAGACTCTTGGGCTTGCCAGGCCTTTCTCCTGAGGAAGAGACTCTGATGGTGGCAATCAGGGGTTTTTAGAGGGGAGAAGCCCTCAGACTCACACCTGTCATCGAGCAGAATCACTAGCCCAACTTACCCCCATAACGGAGTATGGATTATCTTGGGGTTTTGCATACGCTTTTCAGCAAAAACTATGAAGGTTGGTGTTCAATAAGGAGGCGACACAGAACTCTGTTTTGAGTATTGTTTGTGTAGTCAAAACCTCCTTATTTATGGCAGGTAGTCCTTGTTTACACACCATGCACTTGGCAACTGGAGAGCTGTGCTGAAAAAACAAAGGTATGCCCAATTTACAACCATTTATGACCTTCCCAGCATCCCTCAGTCTCACGATTTGTGTTACATTCAGTACCCACACTGTGTTTCTCTCCCCTTGTGGAACAGACCGAGGAAGGGTCTGCAAGAGAGGAATGGGCTGCCAGCACATTGCATGACTTTTGATGTGCACTAGAGAGTAACCGGGCATTCCAGCACTCCAAGGGTGGGGGAGCAGGGTAGGAGGCAAACAGAAGCAGAAAAGGCATCTTGCCTTTTTTATGTCGGAAAGCACCGCCCCAGCCATTGACTCCCCATATAGCCACCTCTTTGCTTAGCATTAAGAGTTTCTGGTCCCACCAGGGTTTTTAAGCGAGGACTATCTGTAATAAGATGTCGACGAAGGTCTGGTCACTTCTGGGGGTCCTCAAGGATTACCGTAAAGGGTCCCGCAAATATTCTGTTGCAGCTGAGCGGTTCATACTTGCTGGGAGCCGTTTGGAGGCTGAGATGCACATCGGAACAGAAGTTGCACCTTCCTGGATTGGACATCTGGCCCAGGGAGTCCATCAACCAGCGCTCCCCGGAAGCTCGGCAGCCCCCAGGCAAATCACGTAGGCCAGTTTTCCTCCACCTGGGCAATTTTAAGGCAGATGGACTTCAGCACCAGGAATTCCCCAGCCAGGAGTTTCAAGCTGCTGGGGTTGAGAAACGCCACTGTAGGCCGATACCCACCGATCCAAGGACTGATCCTCATGATAGCAAATTCCAAAAATTAATTGTGTATTGTGTTAAAAAAATTGAAAGTAAGATGGGTTGTACTGAAATCTGACAAACAAATAAGACATAAATAAGAACATCCTCTGAAAATTTTAGCTTTAAAACAGTCGTGTTTTAAAGAAGCATCCGCTGTTTTCTGCTAGAAACTCTGCAGTGATGCAGAGCTCTCCGCTTCCTCCTGAGCGTCCAACATGAGCTGCCCCGGGGGGGGGGCCCTCCAGCTACGATTCCTCCAAGGTTTCTGGAAGAATAACAGCAGCAGCTTGGAAGGGTCAAGCCCTGGGCGCATCGTGGTTAGATGCGCAGTATTACAGGCAAACTCTGCCCACAGCCTGGAGTTCAATCCTGACAGGGCAGAAAATGGGCTCAGCTTTCCATCCTTCCGAGGCCTGTAAAATGGGGGCAAATAGGCTGACTCTGCTGTAAACCACTCTGGGGCGGTGTGCAAATCTTAAGTTCTGTTGCTATTGGTATCACCCAAGGTGAGTTAGGTGTTATTGGTTTGAATGAATTTTAAAGACTACTTTTATTAACATCTCCCCTGACGGAATGTTCCAGAGCAATCAAGCGCTCACCCACTCCTTTGTGTCATTTTGGAAGAGCCTCTGCGCCAGCCATCAGTATCCAGATGGATTAATTCCAAGGTTAACATCAGACTAACAAGTAAGCAATACCCCAATCAAGAAACTATCAAACACGCCAACAATAAGCAGCCCTGCCAAACCCTCTTCGTGAGACTTTCCCCACTAACTAACGCTGACCAGGAAAGCCGCTAGAACAGAGCGGGTGAAACCTGCGGCCCACCACCTGGATGAGCCACGTGCTGGCCCCGCCCCTCCCGATTTAGCACAGGGGGGGGGAAAGTCACGTGACGCTGCCATGATGACATGAGTTTGACGCCTCTGCACTGGAACATAAACTGAAAGCAAATGCCCCTCCTTACTAGTAATGAGACATCTGCCAGGAAACAGCTGAGCTCAGAGAGGAACCATTTCAACCCTGAGCTGCAAATATTCTCCTTTGCTGATATATGCAAACTATCGACTTGCCTGCTGACCCTGGTGCTGTAGGGGCAACAGGGAAGGTGGGTCAGGTGAAGAATAATGGAGGGAATTAAAGGTTGTTGCTGGGTTCCCCATAACCACCTGTGGAATGTGCCCGAGAGCTGCTGCCTGTTCAGGCCCACTGCACAGAGGACGCTGCTTGGAGGCCAAGGACACAGGCAGCCACAGGCTCTTCAAGCAGCCCGTGTGTGTGTGTGTGTGTGTGTGTGTTGGGGGTTTGACAGCAATTGCCTTGGGGCCGGGGGCTCTTTGGGAAGGCCTTGCTGCAGCACCCGGGGGTCCTTCTGCCGGCCTTTCCTCGGTTGTATTGCAGCGGCTGCTGGGCTGAGCTGTGCCCTGTCTTTTGGGTGGGGATCCAGAGGCAGGCAGGCAGGCAGGCAGTTGGAGAAGCTGCTTCTTGCTGGGCTGAGAGACAACTTGGGTGGGGGTCTGCGTGTAGGAATCTCTTCAAGGGGGGGCGGCGCTCAGGTTTGGCTCCCTGTCTTGCTGAGCCAGGAGACATCTGTAGGTTGAGGGCAAGTGAGGAGAGGTGGCTGGCGGGGGAGACACCCTGGTGGCCCACATGAAGGGCAGGGGAGGAAGGCCGGGGGCTCTCCCTGGACCTGGCATTCTCTGCCAAAGAGCCTCGGCCTGAGCTGCAAGCCAGTCCGTCTTGTCAGGATCCAGCCAGGCCGGCTTCTTAGCCAGAGAAGATTGCTCAGAAGTGAGCTGTGCGGACACAAAATCACAGTTCTGCAAGCTGCAGGTGATGTGAAAACATGGTCCCCACATGCCAAGTGCAGCCTGGGTTGGGAGGTGGTTTTGGAAAGCCCCCCTGGTATTCTGAGCCCAGGACTCCTGACTAGGCTCCAGGAAACAGGTCCCCGGGCTGCCTGATGGGCTCTCTTTCTGTCTCCTGCAGCACAGCCATGATGGGAGGCCTCCTGCTCGTTCTCTGCTCTTTCCTGGTTCCGGTGATCTTGGCAGAAGGTATGTAGAGCTTGGGGGGGAGGGGGTGGGGATGCCTCATCAGGGTCTGTGCCTCAGCCAACCCTTGTGGCAACTGCTGGGGAGGAATAGATTTGGGTGGTTTCCTTGCATGCCCTGTGAAGTCAGGACAGAGGTTGAGGTCCAGGATTCGGTCTTCTTTGGCTGCGTTTGTTGGCACCTGCAGAGGAGGAAGAGGAGGAGAGGGAGGAGGAGGAGGACGTGGCTCCCCTCTTGCTCTGCCCACAGAACTGCCTCGTTACGGATGTTTTCTTTTCTCTTTCCAGCGACTGAGCAAGAGAAAGAAAAGGATCCCTTCAACTATGGTGAGACACAAACTCCTCCATCTGACCCTCTCCAACATTTCTGAGCATTGCTGCAACCTCACTTCCCTTTGGTCTCCCCCACCCCCACCCCCACCCCCAGACTACCAGACCCTGCGGATTGGTGGCCTGACCTTTGCCGTGGTCTTCTTCACGCTTGGGATCCTGCTCATTCTGAGTAAGTGAACTCCGGATGAAGGCTAGGAATGCCAAGAGCCCGGCCTCCCTGCTGCAGGAGAGGGAGCCGCGTGGCGATGGCCTGCCTCTCTCGGGTACTGTGGCCGAGGGGGGGAGGCTGTGGTAGAAGAGGGGGCCCAGGCGATGCAGAGCTCACCCCTTCTGCCCACACCGGAAGAAAGGGGGGGAAAAGGGGAAGCAGCCACGTCCCTTGGGCTGGAGCTGCCCAGCTTGGCTTTGCTGAAGAGGTGCTCATGGCAGGCTTGCCCTTCCTTGCCCCATGGCAGAGGGAGGCCGGTGGTTTGTACACAAGGCAGCTGCTTGGTCAAGCCCCCTCCCCCCCAGCTCAGCACATGGCCTACTCTGCTACGGTGGGAGACGTGCCCAGGATGCCCGGAGAGTCATGGGCAGACAAGGCTTCTCCAGTGTCCCCCCCCCCACCCGGAGACCTCTCCTCTTGCCTCACTGTGCCACGTCTTTCCCCCCAGGCAGGCGATGCCGGTGCAGCTTCAACACAAAGGCCAGGTGGGTGAGGCGGCTTTGCTTCCCGGTTGCCCTTCTCCCCATTGCCCCCCTGGGGAGTGGGAAGGGGGTGACGCCTCCTCTCTGCTCTTGCTCCGCAGGGCTCCCGGTGATGAGGAGGTGCAGGCGGAGAACCTGGTGGCTTCTAACGGTAAGGCTTTGGCCAGGCCCTGCCCCCATTCAGGGGGAGGGTTTCTGGCCCCAGAAGGGGGCAAAGGGTTTGCCGGGCTCATTCGGTCTTCCACCTTCCCCGCTGCCCTCGGTGCCGCTTGCTGGAGCAGGAGAGGAGCCTGCACAGAGGGCGGCCTGGCCTCCTCGAGGGAGCTTCCCCTTTCCTGTGTCTGGGAAGGGGGGGCCAGGCCCACCGGAGTGGCCCTCCTGTATGGCCCATGGGGACTGGGGACTCCGTGGGAGAGAAAAGCACCAGAGGTCTTCTTTTGCAGCCGCTCCAGCCGCACCGGAAAAAGCAGAGAACTGAAAGGAAGGTGTGCAGGTGAGTCTTCAGAAAGGGGAGAGGGGGTGTGGGTGGGTGGGTGGGGGTGGCTGTTGAATGACAGAAATGGAGCAAATCTTGCCAAGAATTCAGGGGCTGTCCTGGGAAGGAGAGAGGAGCAGCTGACTGAGAAATCCTGGGTGGACAAAGGCAAAGAAGCCGGAACTTTTGTTGAAATTGAGGTGAAAAGTGACATTTGCTTTCTCTCAAGAGTTAGCAAGTCTTTGTGAACTGGGGCTCTTGTTGTTGTTGTTTTAGATGTGGTCTTAAATCTTCAGATGTTACCTTCCCCTGCTGCAGGGGGTCTTTCTGTTCTGCCACTGTCTCTTTTTCTTCTTCTTCTTCTCCTTCAGCAAAGCAGAGCTGACACTGGACCAGTCCATTCCAAAGGCAGACCAGATGATGAAGGGACATGGAGGTGATGCCCCCTGGTCCTCTAAGGGAATGTTGACATTTTGGTGTCCATGTTGGCCTGTGCCCTGAAAAATCAGCCCTCTGCTTAACTGTTCTCCACCAAATCCTTGTCTGATTGCATAACGTCCACCTGTCTTTACCATGGTTGTGGCCTTGATGTCGTCCTTGTGCAACAATCTCCTCTGTGACCCCCTCTCCTTCCCCCCATGCTTGCTTGATATTCTGACCCTCCCAGGTGAAGACCTGCCCGCTTCTGCCTTGATATGCACAAAGGCTGCCCCCCCCCCCCGCACAGCTGAAACAAGAGGCGGGGAGGGCCATGCCTGTGGGAAGGGACTGGACTGAGGAAAGGGAGTCCGGCCCCTTGGTGGCGTTCAGCCTTGGCAGCAGCGGCCTTCCTCCTCCACTCGCCCTCTGGCCCTTCTCCTGGCCAGGTCCCTCCAGAAGCTGCTTGTCAGCAAGGCCACAATGGGCCGTGCCCGGAGTCTCTGCCGCCAGCCAGCCAGGGAAGGAGCTGGAATGGGAGGGGCCCTTCTCAGAAGTCTTGGCTCCCCAGGAGGCTAAGAGGGTAGTCTGGCGGGGTCCCCTTTCTCCTGGGCTGGAGATCTGCTGGCAGAGGGGTGGGGGGGCAGGCATTCACTTTTTTGCGAGGCCGTTGTGGGGTGGGGTGAGGTGGTTCCCGTTACCATGGACTTGTTTTGGATAGGACATTAGTTCCGCCAGGTTCACACCCCTGCATGTTGCAACACAACATCCTGTAGGATTCTGGGTGCCCTGGTGTTCTTCTTCTAAAGTGCTCGGCAGAATTGGCAAGAGAATTCAGCACAGGAAAGAATGAGAAATTCAGTTCCAAGATAGTTTCCATTGGAAGCCCAGAGAGGAGCCGAGGCTCTTCCAGGTGAGTTTAGGAAGTGGGTTTGGCCTAACCTTAATGCCCCATTCCCCAGCCCTAGAACTCCCCCCCGCCCCCCAAGGCAGAAGGCTCCCCTGGCTACTTCTCATCTCATGCAGCCACCTGGCCAGATGCCACCAGATGAGGAGAGTGGAAGAGGAGCCAAGCCTTCCTCCTCCTCCTCCTCCTCCTCTCCAGTCTTGTCTTTGCTGTGGTTGCCACACCTTCTGTATTGCCATGTGACTCTATTGTCTCTGTAGTGTGCAGTAGGTAACAACCATTGAAAACATCTGTGTACAAATGTATCTCCAAAACCCAAGCCATGGTTGTGCGTTCACTTGGTGTAGGCTCTCCTACTGTGTGGCTATGATAAAGGACTCCCACGTGTCTGTGCTGTATCTCGGTTCAAGAGAAGCATCAAATAAAATATTGTTTCTATTTCAGTGCCTCAGTGTTCTCCTGCAATGCACCAGGGCTCCTTAGGAGGGCTCCGTGAATAAGGAGGAGCGGGGTCTTCTGCACTTCCATTGCCCGCGGTCCCTTCAGCCCCTGCCCTTCCCCTGTTTGCAAAGGAAAAATGCACTGGCTTTCTCTCTCTCTCTCTCTCTCTCTCTCCCCTACCCTCCCTCCCACCATCCAGCTACCTACCCACCTGCCCGTCCACCCGTCCACCCATCCTGACTGCTCTCTTATCATCGAGAAAGGCTGGACAAATAGTGAGATTTGCGAGTAGGGGGCAGCCCCACTTGCCAGTCACAAAAGTTGGGAAGCAGCAGCTGTTTATATCTGGCCAACGTAGGTCGGGTGGCCTTTGGGGGAGGGGGGATGCTGCCCCCTTCGGATGGGTTGTCATCGGAGGACCCAACCCCACAGAACCTGGACAAAATACCAAGTGGGGTGGGTGGGGGGAGATTTCCTGTCTGTGACGCAGATTGTGTGCTAAAAAGAAGGCTGGGGAGGGAGGGAGGGAGGGGGTGGCGAATGCACCTCCCCAGGAGTGGGGGCTGCGAGTGGAATCTCCACCATTGGAAGGTCAGGTGGGCAGCCAGTGAAGGGCCCCAGGGAGGTTCTTCCCCTGAATGGGTTGATGGCCAGAGAGCGTTTCTGGTTGACCTTGGGGAAATCCTTCAACTTGGCTTCCAAGTCGTGCATGTTGCTTTAGTCTCCTTTAGGGGTTTCCCTGTAATGTCAGAGCAGCAGCCGGAGATCAAAAAGCCTTTGCTGGCACCTGAAAGATTTAGATGGATTATTGCAGATGATCTAGGGGATCACAACTGATGGAAAAATAAACATGTTTGAGAACTTCAAAAACCACATGACGTGGTTGCTAGGGAAAGACTGTTTGGAACAGTATCTGCGCCTGGACCCAACAGGTTTACAGCTAATTGTTTTAAGCCTTTCTGCCTTCTACAGCAAACATTTAAAGCCAGGAGCCTGTGCCAAAAAGCCTTCCGTTGGAATGGGAGTCTTGCCCAGGACCTCCCTCCATGGGGGTCCCCCAGGAAAGGGCCAACCAAGAGGAAAGGTCCAAGGACAGTGCAGTGGCCGACTCTGCTGGTCCTCCCCTCTGACTGCCTCCCTCTCCATGAGAGGGAGGGAGAATGCTTTGGCTTCTGGGATGGGAGGCGGCTCCAGCTGTTTGCCTTTGGGCTGCCCCAGATGCTTCATTGACAGAGAGACCATTTCCAGATGCAGACTGCTGCAATGTGACACCATGGGGAGGGGGGAAGCTCCCCAAATGAAGGTGGCCTTCAGCACCCCACCCTGTGAGACGCAGATCAGCCTCAATGCAGGCAGAAATACCTGTGTCCAAAGACAGGCACTGAGCCACCTGCTCATTCAGGAGTGACTGGAGGTCGGCTTCTCCTACCCAGACTGGACCCCTTGTTTTCCTCCACCGCAGCTGAGCCTCCCCTGTAACCTCCTGGGGCCAATTCTGGGGCAGCCATGGGAGCAGTGGCAGGATGGAGCAGAGCAGAATGGGGAGCCTTGGGAGGTATAGGCCTCAGCCTGTGCCTTGTTTTCAAGGAGACTGAGCCCTTCCAAAGGAGGGCAGCCTCCCCCAGGCTTTGCCTTGTGACTGGGATAAACATTATGGGCAGCCGGTTAATGTTTAATGAGGTGTTTGTCCTCTGTGCTCCCCATTACGATGTGCGTGGGGGGCGGCTGCTCTGGCTGCCCAAATCTGAGCCAGTCAGCCTGGAAAAGGGGAGGTGGTCCGGGTTCTTCACAGCTGGAGAGAAATTGCCCCCTCCACTAGCCCCCCTCCCTTTTCCTCCAACAGAAAGCCAGAGGAGGCCAGCCTGCTTGGAGATGCGGGGGCCAATAGAGATGGGACTCTGCCTTCAAAAGGCAGGCCCGGGTTCCGATCGCTGGGGGCACCAGCTCTGGACCACAGGCGCCGAGGGCGTTGGAGAGGTGGAAAAACCCCAGAAGAGGCGTCCTCAGTCAGGCGCGGGAGGGGGGCTTGCTTTGGGCGGTTGCGGGCCCTCTATTTATTGCCCCGCGCAGTTGCTCTCCAGTCCTTTCCGCAGCGAGATCGGAGCGCTCCCAAGGGACGCGGGCTAAACCAGCGGGTGGCGCGATGGGACCGCTTCCTTCCTCCCCCACCGATGTGGCAAGTGGGTCTTTCCTTGTACTTGCCGCGCGGGGCGCGGGTGGCCGGTTTCATTTCTGGGCTGCCATATTTTCTCGGCTGGCAAATTTCGAACGCCGCACGCGAAAGGCGCCGAGCCCGGGTCGCAGCGCCTCGTCCTGGGAAGCCCAGGCCCGCCACTGCCCGGCTTCTGATTTGCTTCCTTTTCTCTCCTCCCGTTCCCGCCAGAAAATTTGCCGGAGACCGAGAAATCCCTATTTTCTTACGGTAAGAAGGGGCGGAGGGGCGGACGCCAGGATGGGGCGGTGCAGGGAGTTGGCCGCCGCCCTGGCGGAGGCGCAGACGGGCTTGCGCTGCCCGGACGACGGTCCGCGAATACCAAGCCGTCCGCGAAAGGCCTCCGGGGAATCATACTGTGGATAATAAGAAGGGACCTGAGAGGGACCGAGCACCACGAAGACTTGTCCTGCCCCAAAATATTGATTTCCTTTCCTTTCTCTATCGCTTCCCTTTGAGCAACGCACAATACAACACGTTTACATCAGACAGATCAATAAATAGGGCAACACACAGCGACACGACTAAAAACGTTAGAAAGGACGCCCTCCCCATCCGTCCCGCTTTCCGAACCGCCCTCTCCCAGGACTAGCGAGGCTTTGGCCCCTTCTCGCCTCATCTTGCCGCTCAGCCCCGTCCCCCCCCCCCCGTCTGTTTGATTCAGGGCTTGTTTGGGAAGTAACCAGACGGGGCCTTCAAGGGGGGGGGGGCAGCCGCTCGCGTGCAATCTTAGCGCCGGCTCCTTGCCCCCTCCAACCAGAGGTCAACTCTGGGCCGCCCCGGCTCTCCCCCGCCCCCCCCCCCCCCCCCCCCCCGGGCCGCAAAGCCTCTGCCGAGCGCCTCTTCTTCTTCTTCTCTCCGCAGACTACGAGACCGTCCGCCACGGGGGGCTCATCTTCGCCGTGGCGGCCTTCCTGATCGGGCTCGCCATCGTCTTCAGTAAGCGGCGGGGAGGGAGGGGGCGCGGCGGAGGAGGTCCTGGCGACCTTCCCCAGGAGACGGGAAAGCGGGCGGGAGCGCCTGGCTCGCCCTTCCTGCGAGGAAAGCGGGAGCCGCCGTCGCCGTCTTTTCCGCTCTCGGGGTCAGGCTCCAGCGGGATCCCGGGAGCAGGCGACGGGGAGGACCTCGGGCGGCCAGGCTGAACCCACAAGAGCTGCCCCTCCCGGCGGCTCGAGCTTTCACCAACTTCTTGCGTTGCAGGTCGGCGGTTCCGCTGCGGAGGGAAGCAGCAGCGACGGTGAGTAGCCCTGGCCCCGTTGGCCAAGGCTCTCGGGCCCGGGGACTTTCCTGATCTCCGCCTGCTCTCTGGTCCCTTTCTCTCCAGACCCGGCGAAGTGAACGGACTGTGAGCCCGGCTCTGTCCAGCGCACCTTTCTGCGGGCCTCCGGCTCCTTTCCGGAGGGCGACAGGGAGTGCGGGCGGCCTAGCCGGCGGCTGGAGCCTCTTCTCTGCCGGGAGCGAGAGATCTTCCTCCGAGGACTGAATGGGAAGCGGCTCCGGGCGCGCATCCGAGGAAGCGACGAGCCTAAGCCGCACTTGGCTGCCGCCGCGCCGCCTCTGGCCGTGAAATAAAGCGCCGCCTCCCAAGTCGAGTTTTAGCTGAGAAAACCGGCTCCGCTTGATCATTGTGGCCATCCCAAGTGGGCGGCGGCGGCGGCGGCGGCGGCGGCGACCTTTTTCCGGCTGGGGCGTGCTCTCTGATAAGGGGAGCTGGACCTGGGGTCCCGGCCGACGGGCAGGAAGAAGCGGGGGCTTTCCGTGCCTTAGATGCGCTTGGTCTGGGGACAGAGCTGCCAAGCAGAAGAGGCCGGCGGCGTGTGTGTATGACGGGCGGGCGGGGCTCTCTTCAACGGTCCAACAGCAGAGTTCCGGGATGAAGGTGGCCGGGCTGTCTTTCCTGCCAGGGATGAAAAGAGTTGAAAGGGGTGGCAAGTGGCCCGACGGGACTCGGGAGGGTCCGTGTGAATGTAATATTCTGTATGCCGCAACTGGCCAAAGAGCCTGGGGGCCGGAAGGGTATTTGCATCCTCCTAAGGTCTGAGCTGTGGGGACTTTATAGGAGCCCCAGAATCTGCTGTGGCCTTTGGTGCCATCTAAATGGGGCAGGCTGTGGTCATTGGCAGTCACGAAGAGACAGGATCCTGCTTGCCGTATCTTTATGTTGGTCTTTCTCCACCACTGAGTCCAGGTGCTTTCCTCTGCCATCCTTGAGTTGGCACAAAAATAGACCTGTCTAAAAGAAGGTGTCCCCATTGCCCTGACCCTTTGCCCTGTTCCCATGAGTCCTGATTTGTGAACATGTTAATGGTTGGCTTTCTCCTGTAGTTTTGGTACCCCCACCCACCTTCAGTAAAGGAAACCCCTCCTGGTCAGGAGAGGACAGGAAAAGGGAGGGTGGGCCTTTGGGACCCAGCTGGTCTTCTCAGCCAAAACTCAACTCGCTCCGTCTTGAGCAAGAGGGCAGGAGGGAGAAACTCTCCTAGAGTGTTACGATTCTGTGCAACCACAGAGTTCCAGTTATTCCTGGGGTTTCTGTTTCCCGACCAGGCCTCTTTCAAAGAGCTGAATGTGGGGAGCCCCCCTTTCTCCTGGCTCTCAGTCACAGCACAACCCATTAAGAACCCAATGCTCCCTAGCCATGAATCAATCGTTGGCCAATAGCCCCCCCCCCCCCACGCTGTTCACGTGCGGCATATCTGACTGCTCCGAGTGAGACTAAGTGGAGGAGGAGCAGACAGGCTCTGTGAAGTGGGCCAGGCTCCCCAAGGCCCTTTGCAATGTAGCTTCTCTTCCCATCATTCCTAAACTAAAGGAAACCCCAATATTCACTCAGGTGCATCAGATTTTGCAGCAGTTGTGTTTTTTAACGGGGGAGGGGGGGGGCGTGCAGTCTTTTTGATAAGACAGGTGGGGTTCTAGAACTGAGTGAGTGGCCCACTTCTACACAATGGAAGAGCTGCACTTCAAATAGCTCCACTAGAGGTCAGTGTAGGTTCATAATTTGTTCCATAAAAAGCAGGCAGAAGAATTGTGTTGATCGACTATAAAAGGATCAGTTTCTTGATTAAGGACTTCCAGAACGGCACAAAGGAGCTTTTGATTTCTCTGGAACACTTCAAGAGCGGAGATGTTCATAAAAGCCGTCTTTAACATTTTTTAATATCAATAGTACCCAGCTGACCTTGGGTGATATAGCAATAGTAATAGCACTTATTCTTGTATACCACGGCTTCATAATGCTTCACAGCATTCTCTCTTTCAATCCATTCCTCCCACCCACCCAAAGTGTGTGTGCCTGCATCTGGTCAGTTGTAGTTCTCCTGCTCTCTAGGGGCTTGCTGATGGATGAGGGTGTGTGGCCAGAGAGGCAGGCAAGCAGCCTAGAGAAGCCCAAGCAGGCTGCCAACCCCTCCCCGTATCCTGACCACTGGGTATTCTCTTTATCAAGCAAAGGGAGAAAGCCAATCATTGGCGCATTCACATGTTAGGACAAGGCCACAGATCAGAAAGAGGCAACAGAGGCAGGATGAGGATTGTCAATGTAGACACCAACTTTTATGCTAGTCCATTTTTGTGTCACCTCGAGGACAGGTGGAATACATCAACTTCATCAAGTAATAAACTAACCAGGTAGTGTTTCTCCTGGCAGAACTGCTAGGCCCCTTGCAATTCACGGCGGGGTGAAGCACAAGAGACCCCTGCATGGGAAAGTTGCTCAAGGTTGTATCCTTGCATATTATCATCTCCCAATTGTTTGGTCTACCAACCATTGGGGAAAAATTGAACACTGTCATCCACGAGACTGACACACACACACACACACACACACCAATTTCAATTATATCATTTCTGCCTCTGAAAATTAAATGCGGCTTTTTGTTTGTCTTGGAAGAAAATAATTAATCCCTGCCCTCCTGAAGAGAGACCATCTGCCCCCAGCCTCTGTGGAGT